TTCTTCAAGCAGCAACCTTCGTGTCGCAACATCTACGCTGATACACCCATCGCCCTGGCTGTGTCTAACTATTCTATACATGTACAACAAACAAGAGAGGGAGAACGAAGCTTTGGCGTAGATCAGTGTCAACGTTGAAAGGTTTGGACCAAACGCCATTTGCTCTGACGCAGCACCTGCTATGAACATGTAGTGACTGGATGCTAGTAAAAACTGAACATTGATCCCATATGTTCGCAGGCATATCCATAGATTGTTGAGAATAATCCTGCCATAGGCTTTCTCCAGGTCGACAAAGCACATGTAAACCGGGCTGAACACTGCACTTTGGAATAAGGTAAAGATCTAATAATTTTTCTTTCGGCCTCAACTGAAGTCACGCTGCTCTTCTTGCATCTTAGAGTCAGGCATTCGATGACAGTTACTTTCTATCATCTTTCGGTAGACAGGTTGGTTTAATAATTTAATGACCCGTTAATTGGAGCATATTATGATCTTTTTTCAACAGGTTTGTTACAAGCCCTGTTTTTCAGTCCACTGATGTCTTCCCCGTAACTATTGCAGTTTTAGAGACACGTGTTACTCACAAGCTGTCTTGATCACGTAGAGGTTAAAGCATTTCGGGGTGATTTCATCGATTCCAGCAACTTTGTTTTTTGCAGCTTTTTAGAGTTCATCAGCTGAAAGGCCGATATCCGTAGCCTCCTTCTCTACGGTCGAGACTTCTTGCGATGAGCAAGTAGTTGAAAGTACTCTCTCCATCGACGAAGTGTGACCTTATCCTCTGCAAGATTGCGGGATTCTCTTTCAGGATTCTTACACTGCCCTTCTTTCCATTTCAGAGGCGGCGAATGATCTGCCAGAATATCTCTTTTGTTGCCATGAAATTCACCTCTAATACCTCGCAGGACTTTTGGCACGAATCGGCTTTCGCTTTGATCACCTTTTTCATTGCAGCCTAGCGTGCTTCTTTGTACAGCATTAGAATCGTCGGCTCTTTGTATCCATATTTGTTGCCAAAATCAAAACAGGCCTGTGCTTGTTTACTTTTGATGATTCCACCTTAATAATGTGGGTTGAATCGCAGTCATTGAATACTAATATTCATGTCGGTTTGTCTTCGTAAGAATCCGTAGTTTTACTTTGCGATAATTAGGCAGTTTCATTATTGTTGGGATATGATTTACGATGCATGAACAGAATACTATTTCCAGCGCTTACTGTCGATCAACATATTACTGCAGGTGTAAGTGCAATAGTGAAATACTGAATGTGCATTTGAATATGTACTACCGTCAGTAATCTCGAAAATAACTTCTTAAACTCATGCTGAACATTTTTGTGGATAAACAGAAGCGTATAAAAATTTTGCTTCATAAATGATGACCAAAGCTAGCTCGGTTGAAGTTCATTTAAATAAAGAATCTTCTTCTGTGCTTTTCACTATTTTGTCACTAACGATACACTGTTACACCCGGAACATTATAGTTAAATGCAATATGTGCAGTTTGCTTTATTCGAGAAATTAAAAGAATATATTATATTCGGTATTTTGCCATATGATACCAAATGCCAACATTATTTTATACAATATTATCACGTATAATTAAATCGATATTTTGATGTCTGAATATGTTCTTATACAAATTGTACATCGTACATGTACTAGTGTACACCGAATTTTTTCTTACGGTGTACACTACGTTTAACATTTGTTATTTCTACTGCATGTACTATACTGTAGAATTTGTTTCATATGTAGTATTTTATTGCATGATACCATACTGAATATCATTATACATGTTGCAGCCCCGTTATGCTGTACAGTTCTTTCAGCGCGTTTACGTATGTTAGGAGGTACAGTATAATTTATTGCAGTGCTATAAGTCTCACACGCAGCACTGTAGAATTTGTCCTAGTCTTCTTACATAATGCCAAATGAACCTACTACAAGCAGGTACGATATAATATAGTGCAGTATAGCATTCATACCTTCCTGTATTTCCGAGTTACAGAATCATGCAATAACATACAAAATAGTGGAACTGCTTCTGATCTAGTACATATACTACAGTATGATGCAGTAGGAGTAGTACAGCAGTGCGTAAGTTTCATTGTCGCACTGCTGTATGACTGTATTTATCCACGAACTTAGTCACTTATGCAGAATGGATCCTGCAAAAAAACAATTTGCTCTTAAAAGGGTTCGGTACTATAAATTCGTACTTTCACTGCAGTGTCAGATAGTCTTATAGTATTATCAGGTATAGTATACTGTATTTATTTTCTTTCCTCCTCTTGGTTTTCAGAAAGCTTTGTTTCAAGCAGCTTTACTCTTATTTTTGTATTTATAAAAACAGTTTTTAATGTCTCGTTTTTACGATGACCTGAAATCACACACATACTTACGCACTTTATCGTAGAGTGATATTTAGGTTGATGCACAATTTAACTAATGTATCTTGCTTTACCTGAATGGTAACTGCATGCGTTGATACAGGCTAATCCGGCCATCCATTGGTATAGAACACTTCCCCGGAACTTTATACATTTAACATAGCTTACCATGATGTGATGCAGTATACTGCAACGATAGGTTGATGGTTCTGTTTTTCAGTGACAAAATAGCCAAACTTGATGTGCCAAATGACGAAAACTTTCCTCGAGTGTCAACCGCAGTCCTGCAGCGGAACATCCGCTCTCACGTCATGCACTTCATCGAAAGCGCTACGCAGCAGATGCCGTCATTGCCGTCACAAAGCGAATACCTAGAGCGGCGCGACCGTGCGAGGCAACTGCTCCATGATCAGCTTGAAAAGGAGCGCAGCGAAGTAAGAGTAAGTACGAGTGAGAACACTGCTTTTTTGATTCACCTCTGCCACGCAGGTGTGGAATGATAAAAATCCAGCGGCGACCGTCGACAATGGTGAGGAAAGGCTAGTTTCTTATCTTGACAGTCCTGGCGAAAGCGGGACATTCGATCGACGCGAATCTGAAGGACTGTTGCATGGATTCTCAGCGACTGGTGACCACTCGAATCTATTTATTGACAACGACGTGGTTGATCCGCTGCAGGAACAGACGCTGTTGCTCAAGGAGTAAGAAACAGCTCGTTATTTGTTCTGCAAATCTCTAGCCATGCTTACGTGATTTATTGCAGTTATATTCGTCAAGCCACTCTGGAAGGCAGACTAGACGTGGCTGAATGTCTTGAAAGCAATCTCAAAGAGTTGCTTCAAGAAATCGAGATGCAGCAACGGTCCTCATGAATATTGTATGTCTTTGTTTGCTTGATTTCGTTTGTTTTTCTTACATGTGCTCTGGTTTTTATTTAGCGTATTAAAGTTTCTTTACAATATTTTTACACAGTCATACACTGCGCAGAAGTTAGAGTTCTCCACAGTCCGATATGATGACTTTCATCGATGGTTTGCCTGTCGGAGTGCCCACTAGTTCCACCTGCTTGACGACATGCATGCCATCAACAACTCTGCCGAACACGACATGCTTGTTGTCCAACCACTCGCATGAAGCTGACGTGATGAAGAACTGGCTGCCGTTGGTGTTTGGCCCTGAGTTGGCCATCGATAACACGCCCGGAACGTCGTGTCTTAGCGTGAAATTCTCGTCCTTGAAGTTTTTACCGTAAATCGACTTGCCGCCCGTCCCGTCGCCGTTCGTGAAGTCGCCGCCTTGGATCATGAATCGAGGAATGATGCGATGAACGACACTGCCTCGGTATCCGAAGCCTTTCTCGCCGGTACACAGCGCACGAAAATTCTCAGCAGTCAACGGTACGATGTCGCTGCGAAGTTCTATGGTCACTCGGCCCACGTGTCGAATACCGATCTTTATGTCCAAGTATACCTGAGGCAGTCGCTTCGGCTTTTCCTCGGCCGCCACCGTCGCTTCCATTTTTGAATCTACATCTTCTGTTGTTTGCTCCATCCCGTTTTCCACCGTCTTCACTGCCGAAGACGACGTTTCAGCGGAAGATGGCCCGTCATCTGGAACTGGAATTTCCTCTGTTTCTATTTCGCCGCGTGTACCACTCCTAAGTTGTTCAGAGTAAAACAACAGCAATGGTTCAACCGTGCAGAGTCATTCAGTTGCCAGCAAGTTACGCAAGTAATTAATCAAAAAGTACTCTTATGCACTGTTGACCGGTGTCTAATTATATTCAAAGGAAGGTAGGTCATACTGGATCACTTCTATTAAAGAAAGTGCCGCAAAAGTAAACGTCATCTAATATTAATCTGAAGTACCATAGCTAACTGCCAGATAATAAATCTAGGCTATTCTGCTCTTTACGTTCTGTCAGCTTTAGATCACGATGACGATAACAACCGAGGAATAAGTATTTTCCTCCTAACCAACAATCAGAAGATTAAATCTAAAAGTGGTAAATACATGTGCGAAATCTTGCAATGAATGGTGAGAATCAAAATTCTTGAAAGTCGTTAATGATCATAAACTACATACAACTTGAAGTTCTTTAGGAAACTTCCCTTCTGGCACCCGCTCAACGGCAACAAATTCATTGGCGTACTAAACTTCAGTATCACCTGGTCCAGATAGCACCTTATGCACAAAGACCTAACGATGCCCATGAATTTCCATCTAGGTTTGTAGTCTAAATAGTAGTAGTCATTTCCGATCATCGATTTTTAAAGCATGACGGCCTATCAATCAGACGTAAGTTACCATGGCGGCTTCGTGAAGTCAGTATGTCTGCGGCAATTATTTAGTCGAGAATTTAAAATCTCTCCACTTTGCAGACATCTATTTCAATTCCCTTTCCGCTTTCTTTCGTCTATGAACACGCTGTGAAACGTCGGTCCTATATCCGAGTTCTAAAATATTTTGATTTAATTGTTGAACTCTGCGCGGTCACAAGCCCTGAGCCAACAGGGTGCCGCCATAATGATTTCACCGCTACAAGGTTAAGTGGATGTTACAACGTTACCGAATACGGGTCACGTGAGTCACTGAATACGACAATGCTGCTGTCAAAACGCGATCACGGGGAATTTTTGTCAGAGAGCCTTTGTTAGATGTTCGAAAGTAATGACAGAACAACTAAGTTTTGGTGGCGTGAACAAAAGTCTTCCTACAAGGTAAGAATTCATACAACAGGTAGAATCCTAATTATGAAACTATGCAATCTCAAGAGAGTTCGGCTGGTGGTTTGGAGGTAGCAGTAACTTTTTTCAAGAACCGAAAGATGAACTGATTGACAGAAGAAGGAAAGAAAGGATCGCTGCTGCTCCAGCAACTCCGCTGAATTCAGAAACATTCGTTCTGCTGGAATGGAATAATAAGATAAGAGCCGTAATTAGATGATTTTCAACAGTACTGATTAGGACGACAGTGCACCCGGACATAATCGAGTGCTGGTATTTCTGAAGCGGGGAAACCTGCAGACCCTGAAGGAGTAGAAGACGGGGTTTGCATGTGGAACATTTAGACATGCAACCTGTTTTCAAAAATTTGTAGAGTGCTTGAGGAAGGGCTTCTTTATGTACATGCCACTGAATATTCGCTTTTGCCAAACAAGCAGGCTCTTTCAGATAAAAAGTTAAGTAGCACCAAAACTTTATCTGGATTCAGTATCTTTCGGTTTCGAAATTGCACTAATGCGCGCAATGAAGAATGCGTTCCCAGGGGTTCATTTTCATGACTGTTTTAACCATCTGAATTACAGTAAGCATTTGAGCGAGTTGCATTTACTCGGTGTTTATAACGTCGATGCTGATTCTGCCTTGAAAGTGAAGATGATAACAGCGTTGGCGTTTTGTAGCCATTGCTTAAATAGATCATCCGATGGACAAATTGGCGAAGAACTTCCAAACGAACTGCAGTTAATTTGTGGGTGGTTCGAAGACAACTGTCTCGGTCGCTTGAATATCGGAGGGAATACAAGCGTCGCGTTATTTGTATCAGAAATGTGGTCGGTTTATTGTTGCGCAATCCACAGCGAAGACCGTACGAATAACGAGGCGGCGACGGTACATTAACGAATTCAGACAGAACTGGAGAATGTCAAATCAAACATGGCAGTTAGATGACGTACTCCGCGAAGTGCAGAAGCGCTGGGAAATAAACTATCAACAACTTGCTGCCGGCCACTAACCAGCAGTGCTGAAGAAACAGTTGGACGCGAAAGA